AAAATAAAATAAGCCCACCAATAATGATGACAATCAGAATTTTTCATTGGAAAATTGTCGGCTGTCCATAATGGTCCCCGACCAATATGCGGTACAACATATATATATAATAAAAATATCATTATATATGGTGGTACAAGACGTAAATAACGTTCAAGATACATCATGGGCCAAAAATACCATTTAGGCATACCACTTTTTTTAAACATACGCATTAATGATAACGTAACTAACATAGCACTGATAAGAAAAAATGTATCAACACCATATAATGCATTAATGATAATTTGTGCATCTGCACGTTCTTTTTGTAAATCTAATAAATCAAGTGCATTTTGAGTCAGTAAAAAATAACTTTGATCACCAATATAATTATATGTATGACCCCATACGATCCATATCATTGAAAGAACACGAATACCATTTAAACATTTCATTGCACCTAAAATAAATGATTAAATTCACTTTCTTTATGACGATGTACTTATTATAGTTCATCAAAAGTCCATCTTAGATCTGAATTTCAACATGTTCAAAAGTGGTGACCAGCGGAGGAAAAACGAAATCGATTGCGATTCGACCCCTCCCATAGCAGACTGACTGTTGCCAGACCATCTACCCCTTAATTCTCTTCACTTTGCAACAAAGTTATCTGCCAGAAAAAAACGAATGGTATTTCAGAATCTGAATACTGTCCAAAGCTACCACGAAACTGTAAAAGATTGGCAGAAAGTTGAACATTGTGGGTAGAGCTCCTTCATCAAGAACCTTGATTTTAGTTTATATTTTAATTTTTAGAAATTTTAGAATTTTGTTTACCTGTACTTGACATTGGTTTAAGGATAGCTGTATAAGCCGAAAGTTCAATAGCGATTTGATGAAATTTATAAATAATATGATTATACCAATGTTTTCGACTTTTCAATACATTAGTTCTTTCAGCTTCTGATGGATAACTAATTCCATGTAATTGAAGACGATTAGAAAATTGATATTGATAAGATCTTAAATGTTTATGAAAAATTGCCTGTGGTTGTTCATGTGATGATGCAAAGTTGCATAATGTATGAATATTTTGTATTGATAACGTGCTTATTGTTGCATATGGTTTATTTAATACGACACGAAAAAAACAGTCATATAATGTTGCTAATATAACAATGACTGTTAAAATTGTAATAAGCACTAATGTAAAATAATATGGTGCATCTGGTTCAGCTGGACTTTCACATAATACATCATCAACGTGTCGAATATTAGTTAATTGATGAATTGTTAATAATCGAACAGTATTATTAACAACTGATGCTACATCTTCATTTCCACAAAAATCTGGTACACATAAACCAAGATCAATAGCAGCTAATTCTTCTGGATTACCAGGAAAACCTTCAAGTGAACCACCAGCTAAACTCAGTAAGGAAGGTTGAGCACGAACTTTAGCTCGACAATAACGTCCTTTGAATTGGAATTCAGATGATTCATTCAAATACTTGACTTTATGACAGCTATTCCAATTACCAAGCCAATTTGTATTAGCAGCTAAAAGATTAGTCGGAGGTTTTCCACTTGCATCAAATAGACGAAATGCCCAAGTATTTTCTCCTGGATTTGTAATGGAATCAAACCATAAACTTAATGCTCTTTTACAATTTTTATCTTTAACATCTTGAAGATAAACCTCATTAATATACGTTTTGACATTTTTTGGTGCATCACGAAAATAAAATCCAAGAAGTTTGATAGCATTGGAACGATTAACAAAACGTATTATATAACATTTTAAATCTCTCCAAAAGATAGCTGTTGAACCATTTTCTGCTAGAAGTTTTGCTAGTCGAGCAAGATCCTCGAATATTACGTTAAAATCATCTAAACAAAAAAAGATTCTCTCAATCTTATTCATTTTTTTTTTCATTTTTTATAGCTCACCAGGTACGAGTGTTGGATAATCTTCAGAGAAAAGGTACAATTGTTGAAGTCCCACTAAAATGAACCAATTAAGTGTTTCATTGTCGGGCACAATATTAACAAGTGTTTCTAGATCTGTTCTATTTTGCCTTTCACCAAAAAGAATCAATTCAATAGCCTCTGTTAAATAACAAAATCGATCACCATCTGGTTGACAAGTACTAACCATAGCCTTTGCTTCCTTCGTTTTTAGACAAACTGGTGATGGGTTTTCTGCCTTGGTATTCATCATTTTTTGCCCATTATTAAATCCAATAAAGAAAATAAGAATAATAAATGTAAAAAATAGAAACTTCATCGAAGAAATTGACGTCGACATGTTACTACGCATAGGTATGTAATAAGTTTGAATATTCGTCAGTTGTTTCTTTTTTTTGTTGCTATTTTAATAATAAAGATAAAATATATTTTATCTCGTATATTTAATAAAGAGAGAAGCGTATGTGTTTTATTTATTTAACGATATAAATCTAAAGATCACGCTACAACAAAATGCAAGCGTATCAAATTCATATAAAGAGGCAGTTTTTTTTTCCTTTTTTTGTTGTTAACATGTTTGTTGCATAATATTGATGAAGTATAGATAGTAAGGACAGAGAAGAAAGTTTTATTTTTATAGATAATAGTTTATTTCAAGTAGACCATAATAATAGTAAATGAAATTAAGTAGGTTAAGTTTTGATTTAATAATTATTTAGTAAATGAATGAATAATAATTTATTTGATAATTAAAAGATATTTTTCCATGAATTTACGATAAAATTGAATCGAATGACTTTAATGAGTTTGTATAAGAAAAACAATGCACTATCGTAAGTTTGTTAGAGAGTATATTTCCGTCTCTTTTGCTTGGTAAATCAGAATAATACTTATGAATAGAATCATCGGAACCAAAATTTCAGGAAATGAACTCGGTTAACAGAAAAATTTCTGGTTACGATCTGACCGCATTCGAATTCGGGGCCAACCTGACGCACTCGACTTATGAACAAGGTTTAGATTGTGAAAAATGACAGTAAAACTATAGAATAATTCATTTTCATCTTGTTGAATCTTGACTGTTATCAGTTTCAAAATAGATATCAACAATTGATAAGATTTGCAAAACTAAGATGGTTTACTTTATGAAAATGTTAAAAGATTTATAAAGAAAAATTCAGATTTATAGAAAAATACTCCGTCAAAATATAGCATTTTACCATCCTAATAAATATAAGGCGAAATATTGACATGAAGTAAGATAACGGTGCTTTTATACGGATGATCATATGTGTGATCTGTGTCAAGCAGATATTGTATATAAAAAAAACATCACTTTTTAGTTGATTATTTAAATGACCAGAAGTCTTTAGCAGAGATATGCATTATGAGCACGTACCATACAGACAATCCGCACTTTAACAGCAAGTATGATTTGTTCGTTGGCGTGTACGTTTTTATCATACCAGTTATTAAAGCCTATTGCTAAGACGTCTTTTTGAAAAAAGAATGTATATCAGACACTGAAAGTTAAGATTTAATCTTTCATAAATTTGATCTCTATACGAAACTGTTCATTCTATTGTTTCACATAGTAGACAATTTTTATCGAGTGTATAGGCATGGCTTCTTTTCTGTCAAAGCCGATATTTTTTCAAAGAAATATTAGTTTCTTATACTTAACTAACAATAAGACTGACGGAAAATCTCTCAGAAGAACCCTTACTCTAGGCTCTTGTGAAAAAATTGTGAAATAGTACATCACTTGATGCAATTTTCCACGAAAAATCAGTATCTCAGTTTTTAAGCATTTACACTGACTTAGTTGTATGTCCCAGATATGAAAGAACATTCTCTGAAAATTGTCTCGCTATAGGATTAGTGAAAACCTGAAGATGTCTTTTCGGAAAACGATTAGCGTAAAAGAAATAGTAATTTTTTGTACAACGAAGAATTTGCTTATAAATCAAAAGAGCAGTAGTTCTATTCGATCTTTCTACGATCAAGTTTTTCTAATAAGTTTAGCAGCTGGGACAAGTTTTTTTAACCATAAGAACTGGTCATTAATCAAAATATATAAGTTACTATTAAAATCTTGAAAAAGCTTACTTTTATTTGTTCGTCTAACGTTCACTTTGTTGTTCACTGTGTCTCATTTTAATTTTCATTTGTTAAATTTATAAAGTAAATCGTAAACAATACTGATTAAAAAGTATTCTGGTGGCTAATCGACTTAACGTAAAGCTTAGTGAATTTCATTGTAGCAAGCATTATATTCAAATTTGTTTTTAAATCTAAATTTGTGCATATTTAATTGCAAACGATGATCAGAATGAAACAGGTACTCTATAAGTAAATATAAACGTTTGGTTATATTTTGCTTAATTAAGTATTATTTTGTGGTATATCGTTTCCATATCACCTGCACCTCTTTGACTTTTAGATAAATTTCAGCTACAGTTAACACGAATCTCTTCTAATACAAACATATGTTCCAGAAAAATATGTGTGATTTCTTCTTGATTTCATAGAATCAATACAATACAGAATGCACGATTCAAAAATTAGATTGTCATACATATTTAAGATTTTGGAAGTTGAATAACGTATATTTCATTGTCGATAGCATCATGTAGAAAATTTTAAACTTTTCAAAGTCATTCCTTAAACATGACTGAACACATTTTTATGTACTTCGAAGTATTAATTTGAATTCATTGCTAGTTTAAATATTCTCGATGATATTTATTAGTATCAGACATTTTTGAAATTATTCCTTGTTTAAGATTCGTACCAAAATTGAATGAGTTTGTTTTTCTTTGTCTTAACTTTTTATGTGGCTGTTTGTAAAAAACATAGCGTCATAAATGATGATTTCGCAATTACTTTTGTTTCTTTTGATTCAAAAGAAAAACGTAACTAATGCATACAAAAGCATGATGTATTCTGATGTAACCGAGTGATATTACGATTGAAAAACATAAGATAATAATTAAAAAATAGAAGGCAAAAACGGAATATATCTTGATTATAAAAAAAAAATGTGTAGTTTATAGATAATTAACACTTGAGTTTTCATAGAAGAAAACAATACCATCACGAAACAAACGTAATTGTCGCATAGCATTTTCATCAAATTTTTGTGAAGATGGTCTTGTTTGACTTCGAATTCTATCTAGACCTTGAAAGAAATATTTATCTTGTTCAGCATCATCAATCCATCGATCAAAATCAGGTATATGATTGACAAGAGGTATATTCTTTTCATTATGAATTCGATCACTCATACTATCAAAAAACAGCCATTCATGTTGTTGATTTTGTTGTTTACATTTGACAAAAGCAACATAGTGACTTGTTTCAACACATAATACAGCAAATAGATTAAGTTTATGTTTGTTCATGTCAATTTTTCTTGTAGTATGATTAGCGATTTCGTAAGCTCGGTCTTTATGCAATTTAGTTATGCAAGTTCTACAATAACATAAAACTTTGGCATCAGTCATCGCTATAGATAATGACTGTGATTCTTTCGAATAGCATGTATTACATAAATAAAAATCATGTGGCTGATCTTGATCATGATTTGTTTTTTCACATTTGACACAAACAAGTTGTACAATATCGTTGTCAAGAATAATTTGACGATCAGGTATAATATAACGATAAGAGCGTTGTGAACGTGTATGACGTGGAGCAACCAAAATAAGAAAAGGTGGAATAGTTGCTAATTTAACTGGAATCTCAGAAAGTGAATTTCGAAATATACTAGCTATGTTTGCTGAAAGCAAATTTTGTGGATTAGCATCAAACATTTCCCCTATAATATTGTCGAAACTATTACAAAAAACCTGTTGGAGAAAGAAAAGAAAACTTACACATAATATTTGTTGTTACATTAGATGCATTTGGATTTGGTGATTGATCAGGTGGAATAGTTTTTAATGGTGCATAGTGAAAAAGTTCTTCAAGTGCTCGTAAAAATTCACTTGGATCTTTTTCCATTTCTTTAAATGATGGATCACTAGTTGCTTCACTTAATTGAGCTCGTAAATTATATAAAGCATCACCTATATATGAAACTGACTTTAAGAAAA